AAAAAAAAAATTATATCTTTTCATTTCTCTCCTTTCTATTCTCTTCATTTGAATTTATAAATAAATTTTAAAAAATAATAAAACAAGCGGCTATCTTCTCCTCCTCTCCTGTCCCCTCTCCATTTTCCTCTATCCAAATATACTATTAAAGATTTGTAAACTAAAGATTTCTGAAAATTCAAATTGCTTAGATTTCAAGCCTTCCTAATATGATGTGAACCAGCAAATTTGATTTCATCGCATGGCCACACATTTCACAGCTTTGACCCGACCCACCATTTAAAAAAAAAAAAAAATTGACCCCACCCATTTCGTTAATTTCTTACATTAATTGTGCTTCATTTCATGCACCAGGTTTGTTTATAATGTTGCTTACAAGACTTCTCAACGGCATTTTAATGATTTTAGTAATTTGTGGGGACGAAGGCACGGAACCTTCGGGAAAAAGTCTTGTAAGCAACCTTCATTGTATCTTCTTTAAGTAATGAACCAAAACTGCATTAATGACCTCATTGACAACATCCTGAAAGAAGTAAGTAATAATTATAAAATTAATGAAGATTAGGAGGCTATAGATCAATGAATATTTTTTTAGCCCTTAGAGTGTTTTTAAACTAGTTTATGCATATATCGAGGTTAATCTATTACCTCATTAACAACATCTTGAAAGAAGAAAGTAATAATTATAAAATTAATGAAGATTAGGAGGATTTAGAGCAACAATTTTTTTTTTTTTTATTTAGCTGTTAAAAGTGTTTTTGAGTCAATTTTTGCATGTCTTGAAACTCATCCTTTCTTAATTCAGTTGAGAGTAGACTACTCACACCAAAATTAAAAAATTCATGAAAAATTACCTCATCTTTGATCTCTTTAAAGAATCGAACTTCACTCAGTAAAATTGGAAGCAATCTCTCTTACTAATTAAATCATTAACTCCTTGAGTTTAGGGCAATGAATATGCGAATGTAGCTAGTGTTTCTCTTTTATAGGTTAGGTTCAAAATTTTAGTTTTAGGGTAGGTACTTACAAAAATTAATTTATTTGAATGTACTAGACCAATGTAAATGATGTTCTTTTAAAATCAACTGAAGGGTGATTAATTTTGAGAAACGCAAAAATTGATTTGAGACCCTAACCATAAAAATAAAACAAAATTAATGAATATGAAGATATATATATGTATATAAGATTTTTGTATATTTCAAAAAGAGCACATCCTCTATGGAAGGTTTAGGTTGTGTGCTTGATAATAGAGCCCAACCATGTCTAAGGTTTACAATTTAAACTACATTATATTTTTCACATGTGTGTATATATATATATATATGTAAAGAAGAATCTATTTATACATAAAATTTATACATTATATTTACGTAAAATCTGGATCATTTATCTCTATATTAATTTTCAATAGTTAAAATTTATCATAACTTTTTTATATGAAAATGATAATTATTTTTAATAAATGTGAATAAATCTTAATTATTAAAAATAAAGAGATAAATTATTAAAATATTATGTAAATATAATATGTAAAATTTATATACAAGTGAATCCCTTCCTTTATATATATACATAGAGAGAGTAAACCAAAGGCAACATAAAATAGAACGAATTTCATATTTTTTAGCCTAAACTCGAGACTGCACTTTTCATATAAATGAACATAAGAAACATTTTCATTTACAATATTCTAATTGACGATACTATATGATATTAAATAAAATATAATACAATATTATATGAATAAATGTATATAATATTATAAATGAATTTTTAAATAATAACAAATAACATATTATGTTATAAATTTACACTATTACATAATATTATAATTATATTATTTTTATATTTTAATACTTTTTGTGTGTAAATTGTATTTTTAATGGGTAATCTAACATAAAAAAAAAATTGTTTTTGAATGGGATATAGAACCAAGCGTAAATAGGAAGGGAATGGAATAGAATAGAATGGCAACTAATTGAACTCAATTGTACATAATTACGATTCTGCATCGTCACATTTTACTTCTCTGTTTTGATATATATATATATATATATATATATTTTTTTTTCGATTTCTCATTCGGTATCTGAGACTCCATTTTGATTAATTCAGATCGACTTGTGTCGTGCATTTAAAAATGATAAGTGAATCTCTCAACGAAAACTATTATGTATATAAGATCTCAAACTCAAAACTTTATTTAAGGTAAAACAAGTCGCTTACCAACCCCTCGTTGGTTGTTTGGATATATTTTTCTCACTGAAAACATCATGAACGTACTCTATTTTTTCCAGCACGGATTGCACGGATTAATTACAAATAATGGCAAACTACACTTATATAAAATAAAATAATTCAACTACTACGTGGCTGGATTTGAAAGGGTCACGTCATCGGAAATTCTTGACTTTCTTTTATTTCTTTTTTTTAATATAAAATAAAAGGTTAAACTATTAATTTAATCCCTCAACTTTTAAATTCATATCAAAATTATTTTTTAACTTCTAAAAATATCAAAATTATCTTTAAATTTTAATTTTCGATACCAAAATAACTTGGTTGTGAGTGTTGGACTATAGTTGTCGGTTTTTTAGTTTTTTCAACATCTTAAAAATATACAAATTATATGTAATATATTTAATATTTATTTTTATTAATATTTTATATATTTTAATATAGTAAAAAGCCAAAAACAAAAAAAAAAAAACCCTAAAAGTTTAAGCTTCAAAAAGCATTTTCAAACTAAGTCTAAATAAAATGATAGCGATGTTGAGTTTTGATGACGGTGGTTAATGTCACACAATTTTGGTAATATTTTATTAATTTATAATTTTTTTTAAATAATTAATTATGATATATACAAATATGTGTCTATAAATTAATTTATATATGTTACATAATAAACATAAATTATTTTATTAATCATTTTTAATATTTAATTTAATAAAATATTAATTAAAATTATAGGACCTTAACACAAATCCTGTGACCATAACCACAGATGATGGGCTACGACCACGTGATTCAGAGAATTTTTCTGCAAGTTCTCTGGTGACAAATTTAATGTATTATACTTCATGATTGGTCACTCTTTAAACAAGTTACCCTGACAATAGGAAGGAGATATGAACTATGAACTTTGAAGTAAAAATGAGACCAATGGCTATCCGTCATGTTGCTTTTATATTCCTATAAAAAAAAGGGGAAACATTAACGGCATAACATGTTTTTTCTCAAGAAATGGACTTCGTGGGTCTCTCAAACTCTACCAGCTAAACTTTGTTCATTTAAATTAATTGTTTAAATACATTTGATATTTAATATTTAATATTTAATATTTAATGAGTGAAAAATTTTGCTTATAATCAGTGTTTTGTCCATAAATCTTTATTCGTTTGAGCAAAGATCTACAGTTTATGGCTGTTCTTTAACAGCTAATACTGATTATAAGCAACAATTTAAAGAATCAAAGTCTCTTATCTAAAACTCAACTGCTCTATTTAATTACAAGATAAGAAAAGAAAACGGAGTTTGTACTTTGGTTGAAATCTAGAGAGCGTTCGTACTCTCAATCAAAACTACGTTGTTGCTAATTCCCCATTTGATGTTCCAAAAAATGGTTTTCAAATCTCCTTATAACCTAATTCTCCCTTCCAAAACCCAATCGCTCTTTTTTTTCTTTTTTTTTTGAATGATTTATAATTTGGAGAGAAATTTTTGAATCACAATTCTAGAGCTGAGGATATACTTTACCATCAAACATAAAATTATCGGGTCACAAAAGTTGAGGACTTGTGGAGTACTGGTAGTTCAAGTAATAAATAATCACAGAATTATAGACTTTCGGAAATTCAAAAGGGGAGAAAATGGAGAACCGTGGCCCACTGGTTTTTTTTTTTTTTTTCCGGAGAAGGGGAAGGGACTTGGGATTTGATCCCAGGTCTTATTAGTCCTACACACATCCGCAAGGGGTGGCCAATAGGTCATCATGTGCGGGACGTGGCCCACTGGTTATTCCCCCTTTTAATAGATTTTTAATGATAAATTTAATAAATGTGAAATTTGAGTTATACCTCTAATACTCAATAATAATGATGATGATGATTATTCCCCCTTTTAATAGATTTTTAATAATAAATTTAAGAAATGTGAAGTTTGAGTTACACCTCTAATACTCAATGATGATGATGATGATGATGATGATGATGAGAAACTGTGTTCTCTTGGAGGATAAATCCAAACAAGGCAATGGTTATTTGTGCCAAAGTATACGATTGAACCGAAGAATCTCACCTTCATTGGTCCATTATGACTGATTATCCTAATCAGTCATTTTTGTCAAAATTATTAAATAATTGATATTTATTATTTAATAAATTAAAATTAATTTATATATAAAAAATTAAAATATTTTAATATTTTTAATGTTTAAATGTCCAATAATAATTACATAATAAATTTAGTAAAATTATAATTCATACTATATTTTTTATATTTAATGATTATGATGAGAAATCTTAACATTTTTAAATCAATATATCTTAATTTTCTTTTTTTCTCTTATAAGTTATAAATATATATTTTTTAATATCATAATTAATTATTTTAAAAAGATTATTAATTAATAAAATTTCAATTAAAATTAATAATTTTAACAATATCTTTAGTAACAATTATCTCAACATATGAAGGGAAAGAGCTAATGTTATGGAACATGTTTGGTTGTTTTCCTTGAAAATTTTCTTTCGAGTCAGAAAAGGCTTTTAAACAAATCAATCAATCCTCCCAAATAGAGTTGCACATGTTTTACAATTGATAAGGAATCTTTACCAACATTATTGACCCTTGCTACGTTTATTTTTAGACTGCAAATCTGAATCTAAAATGATCGAAAAAGCAATAAATTATAACTAGTTTTCCGCTGAAAATGCAAGATATACCATGCAGATTGCAGAAACAACCAACTAGATCTTTAAGAGTCTCACAAGAATACAGCGAAATAGAGGGTGCACATAATGCAGTTAAAGCAGCAAAAAGCATGTAGGTTTTAAAGTGAACTTTGTTTCACATGCTAAGAATCCAAAAATAAATCAATCATGGGAATAATCCACACGTTAGTTTGTAAATAAATTGTTAGAACTATACACAGGCATCACTTGGCTGACAGGAATTGGTGAAAAACTTGGATGTATACACTAATTTCAAGAGTTGACATTAGCTCAATAAAGTTTCAGAACCATGAAGGAAATGATTCGACACAGGCCAATAGAAATTATTAAATAATCAAACACCTCAACAAAGATACTAAAGATCCATGGAGATTTGAAATGCCTTCAACTTGTTGTAAGAAGTGTGTCCAATCAATGAGCACTCACAAGGAAAGGATGCTGACAAACCCCACATTCAATTGTCTCAGAGCCTGAGCTGGGAACTTGGACCTATAAAAATGCTTATAAGTCCATGCGGTAATATTCACAAACAACATGAATTCATTTGGACTGAATCTCAAACCTGCAAATGAACAGTGCAGATAGGACAAGCAACTTCCTTCATCCGTCTCCCAGATCCATCAGACTTGGAACCTGGGAAAGCAAAGCATTAGAGTAATTGGTTAGATTCTGACTATTGGTTATGGGTGGTGGCCAACCCAGTGCCCAAATTATTCAAGGTGGAAGCACATAAAACCTCTTGAATAACTTTTTTAAGCAACAATACATTCTTTCTCCATTTTTATTGTTGTATTTAACTTATTACATGGTACACCTTGAAAAGATGCTTTAGGCACAAAATGTTACCTGATGAACCTCTTCGATTTTTCTCCATCTCCTCCTGCCAGAAATCATCACTATCAGTGGAAAACTAATAACAAATTAACAATGTATAATGCAATGTTGTGCATTTTCAACAAAATAATCACCTGAAGCTTCTTGGCGAGGTCCTCATGACTTTGCAAACCTGCAGGTTTACTGGCTGCTTCCTTAGCATTGCTCAACCTTTGTGTCACTTCAGCCTGAAAATGAAAGATAGAAGCTTCAGAACTAGTCTCAAATATATTGATAATTGACTAGGACCAGATCACCAGACCAGTACAAATTTCAAATACACTAATCTTGTTTCCTAAGCATGTACTAAAGAGTCAACACTGTCAGCAGCATGACATAGGCACACAGCACAACTGCATAAGTGCATCATTTCACCAAATTAAAACTCTAATTAGAGGAGTTTAAACAAGAACCATGTTTGGTTGCTATTCAATGTCCCTAGCCACCCAAAGCAAGGCATTACTCATGCTAGTAAGGCTTTAACCACTGATCAGCAAATGTGTAGAAAGGATAATCTATCTAGGGACTTATTGCGTAAGAGAAAAGGGTGAATTACCATGCACCGGTCGCAAACTCTAACTGGCTGAGCACTCTCATCTGCAGTGAGAGCAATTCTACCATGGGTACACTTGTCACAGAAAATATCTCCACAGTTCCTGCAATGATGCTGAATGGAAAAAGGGTAGAGCATTAGGATTAGACAAAGAGGAAAAGTGGGAAACCTCATTTATAAACCATGAAGAAAGAATTTACCTTACGTACAAAAGGCCCGAAATCTGTCCCACAAGCTGTACATTTTGAAACAGCTTCATCAGGGACCTAAAAAAAATCAACAATACAGAAGTAAAAGTCTGGCCCCTAAGAATATTAGTAAAACAGAAAAAAGAATAGCATAAATGAGAGTTTTAATGCCCTACAAAGTTTAGCCATTAATAATCCACAAGTATAGGGAAGCACAAGAGTAAATAATCAGAACATCTCCACTTGCCCTATAAAGTTTATCCGTTAATATTAATAATAATAAAAAGAAAAAGCTATGACTCACCCAATGATCTTTCTCTTCATTGCCAGGCTTTATCAAATTCATCCAATCAGTAAATCCTTTCTTCTTCTCAGCAGGCAGTTCAGCTGTCTTTATAGTTTCAGAAGGCCGGGTTCTACCACCCATCTCCTTGATCTGCAACAGAAAATGGGGAAGAATTAACATCTTAGAACATGCATGCCGCACAAAACATCTATGGTTCCACAACCAAAGAGATTGAAATGACATGGGAATAAGAGATGCAAATTTGAGAATCAAGGAATGAGAGGTTTCTGAAAGCAATAAATATGCATGTATCAGTGTATGTATGTTAATTAGTCACATTAAAAGCATACACCCATCCACATGCAAATGCAACTATACCATTAGCATAAAGGACCTTCATGTGTCCCCTAGGGAATGTTCCAATGCTTGAGAGCTTGAGTCTTTATGTTGGAGATCTCAAGTTCGATTCATGGGATGGGTGGAGAGGGGTTTGGGAAGAGAAGGGAAGAGCTATCCCCTGTTATATTGCCCATCATCTAATGTACCCAAAAAAAAAAAAAAAAGAATAAAGGACCTTCATGTGAATCTAAGGGCACCAAGATTACACCTTCTCAAGCCAGCTTCATTTGCATATGAGGAGTGCTACGTGCACTCAGTGTGGGCCCAAGTGCAGAAGCACTCCTCATTTCAATGACTGCTTTCTTCTCTCTCTTTTATTTATTTTTCTTTTTTCTTTGGAAGAAAAAAAAAGTTAAAGCACTTGGTTGTGCCTTAGCATTGCCCTTTGCAGATAATTTATCTCATAAAAAGGTAAAAAAACTGAAGAAAGAAAGGCTTCCCTAAGCAAAAAATTGTTATGATGAAGTCATTCTAGTCCCAAAATTAATTTGTTCGAACTTCAAAGAAAATGAAACAAGAAAGGAGAACACTTGCAGCCATAGTATTGCAAGATATCATTACAATTACCATGATACCAACCTGTACTGTTGCAGCAGTTATCGTATCAAGAAGGGTATTTGTAGTGTAACTATTTGATTGCAACCTGATTCGCCTTGGATCAATATCAACTGAGCTTTTAGACCAAAATGCCAAGGTAGATGAATCAGTCACCTAATGAGAAAGCACAGATGTAAACATCATGGTCAAATATTACAACAAATAATTCATAAAACAATTTTATAAACAAGCACAAAAAGATATTAACTCACTTCACATCTTGAGATGGTCTCAAGAGGATATATTCTCAGTGTACGACTGGTACTTGGATCCAGCATTCGAATACCATCCAAACCAATCTGATGGGAAAAATAGACCAAATCATGACCATATGCTTCATAAGTGACAATAACAAAAATTTTGAGATAATAATAAGGAACAATAACTTTCTCAAAAACAATATTACATCAATGTTACATACTGATAATCAAAAGAGAGTCCCTAGTATGGGACACTCCATGAATTGTGGTAGCAAAAGAATAGGAAACTGCAGGAGAAATGAATTCAGTGACAAATTCAAATTCTGATGCACCATTGAATTTAAAAAGAAAAGTCATCTCCATGGTTTTCAAGGAGCCTATCTAAGTGCTGCCTGATGCCAAGGACAGAAATTAATCTGAAAAGAAAATTTGATTTTGATCCAGGACAAAGAAGAATAACCCTACAAAGACAAGCAGAACCAGAAAGCTGAAGGGAGACAAGGATCAGAATCAGATTGTCACACAACTAAACCTTAGCACACAATGATGAAGATGAACAGTGTGAAGCTTAGTTAGTTTTCAGAACCTCAGGCAGATACGTAAGTGTCTCAATGTTGGCAAAACGTTTATTCATCTCCATTACAGCAAAATAATATTGTGCACCAATATCAAATCCCATAAGACAAAACCATCCAATTTGGTGATCAACACATTAAAAATAGAAATCTTCATGATCACCAAGAAATAAAAGTGAAGAACAGGAAACCAATTGACACTGAAATAGACAGAGAACCACCGTACAAGCAGTGTCAATATAAAGTTATCATCCTGCAGAAGCTCGGGACTGATCCTGAGCCTAAGGGCTGAGACCATAGTTCGGGAGTGCAACTGCTTAATTACTGTTAAAACCGTAATCTCTTTGTTTTTGGCCATTACAGCCGATCAGTCACGTCTAGATGAAAACTAGAACAATCTTTAACATTACCAAATAAATTTAGCTTGCACCACTTCAGTCATCTAACCAGCATTATCAAACCGAGAGGCAAAAAATTAGCTCTCCAAGCAAAAGCCGAAAACAAATTAGTTCTTATCAAGTTTAAGCTGAAAATGAGACCTAACAAGAGGATACCTGGCAAAGCACATCCATGGTGCCCTGTCCACCACTTTCAGGCAATAACTTAACTCGAAACTTCTGCACTCCACTCTTGACATCCTGCTGAGTATCTGCCTTTGGCACAGCTCTGACAATCTTAGGTGAACCCAAAGCTGATCCAACGGAGGAGTCCTTCCCAGAAGAAAAACCAATAGCCCGCCCATAATCATCGAATATGGCAGAAGAAGACGACTTTGGAGCCGTCCCACGTGCCCCATATGGCTCCGCCTTGCCAGCTTGATAAGCATACACATCGTCCCCATATCCATCATCGCCAATTCCTGAATAGCTCTCTGGTCGATTCCCGTAACGATCCGATCCCAAATCAGATCTACTTCTACTATAACCCCCATATTTATCATCATAATGCCCGCTTCCACCATCAAATTTCATCGAATTCTCGTACTGGTTGTCGTACACAGGTGGAACTGATGACATCGATGATCCCCCAAGGGAATACGGGGCTGAGTAGTAGGATGGATGGGGATTAGGTTCTGGGTTTGGTGGCGCAGGGGCGTAATTTGGAGCCGTCTGATCATAAGGTGGGAAATACGGTGGCTGAGATACAGGAGGCTGGTATGCTCCATGCGAATCATATGGCGGGAACGAAGGGGCTGAGGTCAACGGTGGTTGCGGTTGTTGATTGAAGCTGGTATGCGGACTAGGATTTGTCGCCGGCGGCGTTGTGGATGACGGTGGGGTGTATGAGGGAGCGGTGGGAGGGACAGGATCGGAATTGTGAGGATACGGAGGATAATTCGGTGCATAGACGGAGTAATCAGACGAGACGTATCCAGAGGTGAAAGGCGGCGCCGATGCGTGCGGCGGTTGGAGCGAATCGGTGGAGCTGGGATTGAGGTTGGGATTAGGATTTGGAAGGTGAGAGAATTGATAGTAAGCACTGTAATCTCCTTGTTGCATCGCTGATTCTTTAAGAATTCTGCTCTGTTGGACGATACAGAGATGAATTTGGGAAATTCCCTTATGTTCTTCGGTTCTTCGTATTCGATGAGGCACGCGGAATGGAAATTATGGAATAGCGTTAAGACGACGGGGACAAGCAAGGTGAGAAAGCGAATGCCGCCAATGGGTTCGGGTAGTCATATGTCCGACCCGTGTCAGTCCGGGTAGGATGTACCAGCACAAAA